AGGCTAGGACAGCAGCTGACTGGAGTTTCGAGCCCCGTCAGACGCACCATCCTGGGCGCCAGGGCACCCTCTACTCGTCAGCAGTACGAAAACAGGTGGTGTCTGTTTTCCCAATGGTGTTCTGATCACAACAAGGATCCAGTCTCCTGTACAATACCCACCATTCTGGAATTTCTCCAGTCTCTACTTGGTAAGGGTCGCTGTCCTTCGACGCTTAAAGTTTATGTAGCGGCAATATCATCTAATCACGCTGGCATTGATGGCTGTACGGTAGGGAGCCATAATCTAGTCTCTCTTTTTCTGCGTGGTGCCCATAGGTCACACCCGCCGACAGCTCCACGAGCACCAGGTTGGGACCTTCCCTTGGTTCTCGAAGCTCTCTGCCGTCCTCCTTTCGAGCCTCTGTCGCAGGCGGACCTCAAGTGGCTTTCATGTAAGACGGCTTTTTTGTTGGCTATTACCTCAGCAAAGAGGGTCAGCGAACAACATGCTCTCTCAGTCAGCCCCTCATGTCTCAGGTGGGGCCCTGAGGGCTCGTGTGTTACCTTGTGGCCAAACATTGTATTCGTACCAAAGGTGTTATCTCACTCTCACTCTAACCAACCGTTGAGGCTGGCACGTTTTCAGCCTGCGCCTGGTGAGGGGTCTGCATTATTGTGCCCGGTGAGGGCACTGGAGGCATACGTTGCAGCTACTGCCATGATAAGACATTCAGACCAGCTGTTTGTGTGTTATGGAGGCCCTAGGTTAGGCTGTCCTCTTTCCAAACAGCGCCTCTCCCACTGGATCGTGGACGTCATCTGCCACGCCTATGCTGCAGGGCCCGGCCCCCTGCCGGTCGGCTTGAAGGCTCACTCTACCAGGAGCGTCTCCGCTTCCTGGACTGCCCTGAGAGGGGTTCCGCTGGAAGCAATATGTGCTGCTGCATCATGGGCTTCCCCAAGCACGTTCACCAGATTTTATAGAGTTAACGTGGCCACCCCTCATCCCCTGGGCCAGGTTCTTCTACAAGGGTCCTCTGGGCCTCCTCAATGAGGTAGGTGTTTAGGATTCCTTGTGACATCGTTGGTATTAGTCATTCAGTGCTTTCAGCACCGCCCTCTGGCGGTCAGGAGGGATGAAATAGAACGAAAGTTACATATGTAACTACGGTTCTATGAATCCCGGATGACCGCCAGAGCTTCTCCGTCACTCAGAATCCTTGCGTTCCGCGAGAAGATTCTGTAGGAGCAGAGCAGCGGATGACGTCGGGCTATATAGCCTCTGATTGGTCATCCGTGTCACACCTGTGACTCCGTTGGTTTTATTACTCGAATCAGCGCATGCGCGAAGGGAACATTCAGTGCTTTCAGCACCGCCCTCTGGCGGTCATCCGGGATTCATAGAACCGTAGTTACATACGTAACTTTCGTTTTTTATAATTATTTTTTTTACATTTTATGTATATAATATAGGTTTTTTTTTTATCAGTGAAGATTAAAAATAAATAAACGGTGCCGGCTTTATTGTGAAATCCAGTTTTCCCTTTGATTTTATTAAATAATCTGTTAATTAAAGTTAATTCAACTGAAAATTTATATAAAGACAAAATTATTGAATGTCTCATATTTCCCCTCAAACACGTTTAAAAAAGAGACACAACCTTTGGTTCAACATTATTCTAACACACAGATGTACAAATCACAAAACAAGCATTACACTTTAAAGCTTTAAATCAAAGCTAAACTTTAATTCAAAGCTAATTAAAAATAATCTGTATACAAGAAAAAATCTGTATACAAGAAACAAAACCACGAGTACAAATACATCAAATGATGAAGAAAAATATAGAATTTTACATATAGATATCCTGATGCATGCTCAATAATCCAAGTAGAAAAATCTAAAAAATGTTAAGTCTGGTCCTCTGGACGTTCTAAAAACAAACAAACAAAAATGTAAAAATGTTTCATCTGAAAGACTTCTTCAGTCTGAGGAGCTGCATTCAGCTCAGTCTTTTCTAAACAGCTATGAGCTGAATACAGCTCCTCAGACTGAAGTCTTTCGGATGAAAGACGAAACATTTCTACATTTTTTTTTTGTTTTGTTTTGTTTTTTGAATGTCCAGAAGACCAAACTTAACTTTTTTATATTCAAATATAAATGTTTTTGTAGAATCTGGTTCATCAGATTTAATTCAGTTCAGTTTATTTATACAGCGCCAAGTCACAACAGAAGTTGTGACAGGGCACTGAACAGAAATATTCATATGTAAAATAAGTTAACAGAAACATTCATATATAAAAATAATTTAATATTATTTATGTGAGGAGCAGACTGCTTTGAGTAACTCATAGCAGAACTCACATTAGCAGGACTTGGATTCTGGACACACCTCCAGAATTGGTCCTAAAGTGCAGGTGCAAATCCAGGCTGAGCTGAACCAGGCTGAGTAGGGGTGTGCAGGGCTGGGCAGAGTTGGGGCTTATTAGGGGCAGTGCAAAAGGGGCATAAGGTTCTCGAGGGATCTTGGGACTTTGCCCATCCAGTCAACATGTGCTTTGTGGACTTATAGAAGGCTTTTGACCATGTTCCTTGAGGTGCACTGTGGGGGGTGCTCCTTAAGTATGTCATTGCGGGCCCGTTGCTATGGGCTGTTTACTCCCTTTACAAGCGGTGCAAGAGTTTGGTTCGCATTGCCGGTACTAAGTCAGACTAGTAATTCTGGGTGGTGGGAGTTGGACACTGCCAGGGTTGCTTGTTGTCACGATTCTGTTCATAACTTTGATGGACAGAATTTCTCAGTGCTGTCAAGGGGCAGAGGGAGTCTAATTCTGTGGCCTCAGGTTTCCTTTTCTGCTCAATAACACACTAGCCCAGCTGCCCCTCTTTTCCCCCCAGGCACAATGCCTCCTCTTCCCATTAGAGCTTCTGCCTCCACACTGATGTCCGTAGTAGCTACAGTCTGCTGAGCATAGTTTTCAAATTGTTGTTGATCGCTGCTGTATCCAGAGTTAAACGCTCTCTTATGCTTATCAGTTTGGTGCAGCTATAATTCCCATGCTTAAGGCAAGCAGAGTCAGGCACGAAGCCCATTCTAAAACTATCAAGAACTGGGTTTTCACTGGGAGCCTGTGAAAGCTGCTGCCTGGCTGAACACGGCCATCATAATAATCATAACTAATAATTAGTTTAGTATTCATTAATGGTCCCGACTGAAAAATATAAGCTACACGTCCGCCTCGGCCAGTTGTTCTAGGAACATAAAAATTTAAATAATTAGGTGGAGTGAATTCATTTATACTAATAAAATCCTCCTGTTGTAGCCAAGTTTATGTCAGACAGAATTAACTAACAGGGATTTAGAGGAAAAATATCCGATGTCAATAATCTACATTTAATGAATTTATGATTTTGCTCTGGTAAAGTAACTGTTTATTTTAATCAGATTTTTATGGTTTATATTTTTAGAGCTGATTTTTGGTTTATTTAATTTGAGCCGTGGGCGAGTTGACACTGTTTCAATGGGGGTGTGGGGGGGTAACAGAGGAGAAGCAGCAGAGAGGGGTGGAGGACTACAACTCTGCTTCCTGGACTGGACCCGGGTTGTCAATAATTTGGGGGATAAACAAAATCAGCCATATTTCTAGAAAGAAGAGCGGCTCCGTCCAAAGTGGGATGGATGCCATCTCTCCGCATCAGACCAGGTTTTCCCCAGAAAGAACTCCAGTTATCTATGTAGCCCACGTCGTTGTCAGAACACCACCTGGACACCCAGCAGTTAAACCACGACATACGGCTAAACATGTCATCGCTGGTCAGGTTGGAGATGGGGCCGGAGAAAACTACGGAGTCCCACATGGTTTTAGCAAAGTCACACACCGAAGCAACATTAATTTTAGTGACCTCTGATTGACGTAACCGGGTGCCATTACCGCCGACGTGAATAACAATCTTACTGTATTTAGCCTTAGCCTTAGTCAGCAGTTTCAGATAAGATTCTATGTCGCCCGCTCTGGCCCCCGGAATGCATTTGACTATGGCCGCTGGAGTCCCTAAAGCTGCGCTTCTGACTATGGAGCTTCCAGTAACCAGGGTCTGCTTCTCAGCAGGTGTGTCACTGAGCGAGGAAAATCGATTAGAAACGTGAACGGGACGGTGGTGAACTGGGGGATTAGCCTTAGCACTACGCTTGCTCCGGACCGTCACCCAGCCGGCCTGGGGTCCCGGCTGCTCGGGGTCTGCTGGAGGACCGCTAACGGGAGCTAGCCTCTATGGTTCCGCACTGTCTAAGGGGACCTGGCTAGCTACTGTTTTTTTTACAGCACAGAGCTGAGCTTCCAGTTCAGACAGCTTCTCCTCCAAAGCTACCATAAGACTACATTTGTTACATGTATCATTACCACTAAAGGAGGCAGAGGAGTAACTAAACATCTGACACACGGAGCAAGAGAGAACAGACGAAGCAGGGAGAGAAGCAGCAGCCATGCTAATCTAATGCTAGCAAGAGCTAGCAGACCCCAAATACACCAATAAAAAGCGAGAAGTGTTGAAAGATAAAAGGTGTTTCAATCACTATCCAACAGTAGAAAAACAAATGCACTAACGGGGTTTGTGAACTAGAACGAAAACTGTGCAAAAGATATTTAAATCCAGAAAACAAGACTCCTCAAGCAAACAAAAAAACACAATATGTCTTATCACGAACGTCCAACATCAGCAGTGCCAGTTTGTATTATTATTTATTTATCATAATAATATTAAAACATTATTATATCATTCCAATGCATGCTCAGTGATCCAGGTAAAAACAAATCTAACAAAGTGAAGTCGGGTCCTCTGAACGTGTAATTTTTTTTTATTCGTTCAGAGGACCTGACTTAACTTTGTTATATTATTGTATTTTATTAACAAGCTCATATCGCTCTTATCAACTCCTTATTCTCCAGTTGACCTTTTATTACTTTTTGAATTCTCCTTTCCCTTTTTGCCCTTTCCTCTTTTTTTTTTTTCTCCTACAGATGTGTATGGACTCAGAAAAGCATATGATCTACACGTTTGGCGGGCGCATCCTAACATGTAATGGCAGTGTGGAGGACAGCCGGACATCTGAGCCACAGTTCAGCGGCCTCTATGCATACCATTGTCAAGAAGGGACATGGAGCCTCCTGCGGGAGGACTCGTGTAACGCTGGGCCAGAGGACATTCAATCCCGCATTGGTCACTGCATGCTTTTCCACAGTGTGAGTCCCAGCAAAAGTGTTGGATTTTGGGTGTCCAAGTCCTAATTTTGATACACTGAATGCTGAATGTTTTTTCTGTATTCACCTTTAGAGAAATCGCTGTCTGTATGTATTTGGAGGTCAAAGGTCGAAGACGTACCTCAATGACTTTTTCAGTTACGATGTGGATGGAGATCATGTCGAGATCATATCTGATGGTACAAAAAAGGACTCAGGGATGGGTAAGAAAGAATTTTAAGAATCTGATGACCTATACATCTCCAAATATACAGTGCCTTGCGAAAGTATTCGGCCCCCTTGAACTTTTCAACCTTTTGCCACATTTAGGGCTTCAAACATAAAGATATAAAATTTTAATTTTTTGTCAAGAATCAACAAGTGGGACACAATCGTGAAGTGGAATGAAATTTATTGGATGTGTCAAACGTTTTTAACAAATAAAAAACTGAAAAGTGGGGCGTGCAATATTATTGGGCCCCTTTACTTTCAGTGCAGCAAACTCAGTCCAGAAGTTCAGTGAGGATCTATGAATGATCCAGTGTTGTCCCAAATGACTGATGATGATAAATAGAATCCACCTGTGTGTAATCAAGTCTCCGTATTAATGCACCTGCTCTGTGATAGTCTCAGGATTCCGTTCAAAGCGCAGAGAGAATGCTGGGCCAGCCTTCCTCGGCTGCTGCTCCCTGCTGCTCTGGCCTCCGGCCTGGAGCCGGCTTGCGGTCGCTGTCGGGCGGGTGGGGTGCATGGACGGCCCGACAGAGCCTCTGTCGGGCTGTCTCTGTGTGCCTGTTTATGTCTCAGGTTGGGTTTTAGTTGGTCCCCTGTCTTGGATCAGTTTTGGCCCCCCATTTGGTGTGTCGTGCTGCCCTCCGGTGGTGGGCCCCCCTGCCGCCGGTGCATTGGCAGCTCTCAGCAGCTGTGGCTGGGTGGTGAGGTGTGTGCGGGCCCGCCCTGGTGGCTGCCTGCGGGGGTGTGGGTGCCCTGGCTCTGTCGGGCCTCTGTTGGGGGGTGGTATGACCTCGGGACTCGGTATCCATGGCCGGATCTACTCTGGAGGGGCGGGTTGCTAGCGTGGCCTGTGGACTCGTCGCAGCAGCCTCCTGGGGTTTCTGCATTGTGGTGGCTGGGGACTGCCCGGGGCTTCCCTTTGCTTCTGTCTCTGGGGGGTGCGGGTGTCCCTGTTGGGGGAATACCGGAGTTCCGGGCTTGGGGGCCACTGTGTGTCTGTGGTTCCGGTCTTCCCCGTGTTACCTTCGTGTCCTGTGGGGACGGGTTTATGGGTCCCCACATCCACTATTGAACATTTTTATGGAGAAACCTTATAGTGACATCATGCTCACACAGGTGTTTAGATTCAGGTGTTTATCAGATACACACTCAGTTGGGTTGTGGTGGCCATCAAATATATATTGTATTATCATGTACTGTATAAAATACTTTCTAATGATGTTATAAGTATCATTATATAAGTTGTTTGTTGTTGTGGGTTCTCGGTTTTGTCGTTTTTTTCTCTCTTTCCGCAGGTCTAGAGTCAGACTTCAATGATGTTGATTTGTGTTCTCTTTATCCCTCTCTCTCTCCTCTATTTCTATCTCCTTCTTTACATTTTAACTCTTCTCTCACTTTTCTGCTTTATCTTCTTTGTTTTTCGTCCCCTTGTCCTTTACATCTGAAACAAACCCAAAGCATATTCTAATAAAATTTAATTTATATATATCAAGTGGAGCATTAAGGCCAGCCATAATGCTCTGCTTGTGAAAGTAAATCTGTTGGGCATCACCTTGACACTCAGACAATAATTCCAAGTGTCACAATGACGGGTAGGACAAGGGGGTAAATAAATAAATAATAAATAAATAAATTAATAACATTTCTTCAAAGAGAAGACGGACTTTAGGTGAGCCGATTTGCCCTGTTGACATGCGCGCAGCATCAGAATCAGAATACCTTTATTGTCATTATATGCAAGTACAATGAGAATGAGAGCCACTCCTTTTACAGTGCAAAACATACTTAAAAAACACACCTAAAAATATAACGTAATATAGATATAATAGCACTATGAAAGTAAAAAAATACTAGTTATTTCACAATTATGTAAATTTGAATATTGCACATTATGAATATTTTTTTTCATTCATTCAACCTTTATTTAAACCGATAAATCACATTGAGCCTCGAAGACTCATTTAAAAGTGAGACCTGTTTGGACAGACAAAAACAGTGGTTAATCAGAATCAGATCAGAATCAGAATGCCTTTATTGTCATTATACGCAGTACAATGAAATTAAGAGCCACTCCTTTTGCCAGTGCAAAAACACGCCTTAAGAAAACACACATTAAACACACTAAAAATATAAAAAATGTAACGCAATATAGATATAATAATGAAAGTAAAAAAATACAAGTATTACACAATTGTATTGCACATTATGGATATTAGTGAGGTAGTTGAGGTGATTGAGAGTATGAAATGTCAGTAGTATTGCACAGTAGAAGTCCAGGTGTTTGGGAGGTTAGATTATTAAATCAGTGCATGTGTGAGTTCAGTGTGGTGATGGCTTTCGGGAAAAAAAACTGTTCTTGAATCTGTTTGTTACTGGACACATGTAGGAGTTGGAGGTGAAAAAAATTCCTATCTGACTTTTTTCTTGGCTGAGAAAAACCCCTAATATTGAAAAAACACTTCGCGCAAACAAGCACATATTTACGTAGACATTCTGCAGAGCAGAGCAGGAAGAAGGAAGAGACGAGAGCGGTCAACAACGTCTACAGATGCTCTCGAGGTCACTGTAATCAGTCAATGTCCTCTGGTGAGATCCATAAACATTCTCGAGGTATGTCGAGAAATGGCCAAGGATAACCTCTATAAGAATCCAGAGTCCTGAAATGATGACACAAAATTTATTCAGCCGGGTTTCATCTGGTTATCAGTTGGAAATTCTTCAGGGAGGGTGTGGTGAGCGTCAGATCACATTTTCTCCAGGCGACTTTAGATAAAATGGCCTTCAAGGACAACCAAGGAGACCAAATTTAGATAAACACACAATTGTTTTGGGGACAGGCAGAACTTAATGACATCAACCTTGAGTCTGTGTCGGTCCACTCGGTTCCGAAATGTCCAAATTAACATGGCCAACACCGATGGAAACGTGTCTGAGTAAAAAATCCCCAAGATCTGATCCATTCACCCAAAGCATTTGAGTCCGGGTACTCCAGACATGAACCCAATAAAGGCAAGCAGCGTGATCGGGTCCAAATTTGCTGCTGACGACTTCCTTGATTGTAGATAAAACCAGCACCAGCTGAATCCAAAAAGCAGGAACCAATTATCAAAAATCCAATTAAATATGCGTCCTTAAAATCCACAGATGGCAGCAGAGATAGACACATAATCAAGTTTTCCAGTCGATGAGATATCCAGCTGCGTACGTGCCAACAGGGTAAACCGGCTTGCCTAAAGCCTGTCTTCTCTTCGAAGAAATGTTGTAAATTGAGATGAGGGACCAACTGGTCAAAACAAGTCTAATTATGGTTCGGAAGAAATGCAAGAGAGTCTCACAGCAGTTTCACAGACAGACAGAGCAGCAAAGCGGAGAGGGAGGGGGAGAAGCATCCGATCTCATGGGGAGCGAGTGGTGAAGTGATATTAGTGATGTAATTAAAAGGTAAGGTGATTGAGAGTATGAAATGTCAGTAGTATTGCACAATAGAAGTCCAGGGGTTTGGGAGGTTAAATTATTAAATCACTGCATGTGTGAGTTCAGTGTGGTGATGGCTTTCGGGAAAAAAAACTGTTCTTGAATCTGTTTGTTCTTGTTCTGATTCACCTGTAGCGCTTCCCTGAAGACAAGTCAAACAGTTCAAAACTTGGGTGAGAACTGCGCTTGATTATGCTTTCTGCTCTGTTGAGGCAGCGTAATGTGTAAATGTCCATCAGGGAGGGGAGAGGGCAACCCATTCTTTTGTGCTGTCTTGACTACTCTCTGAAGCCTCTCCCTGTCAGCCAGGGTGCAGCTGCCGGACCATACAGTATGTCAGCAGGCTCTCGATGGACCCCCCCGTTAAGTTTCGTTTTTGACGTGCTGCGTGTTTCTTCACGTTTGCAGTTTAATAATAATAACTAATAGTTTAGTTTTTCCTGTGACTTATTTGCAGTATGATAAATGGTAGGAGCATAATATACGCTCCCAATGTTTTGTTGGTCTTTTTTTTTGTAAATAATTACCTTTTTTTGCGGGTTTTATTTATTTATTTATTTTTGTATCTTGCGATCGATGACGTATTCGAATACTCTAGTTCTACTCGGGTTTTATTATGTTAATGTCGAGTTTAAAAATTATATACTCGTTCAACCCCTAGTGTGGAGAGCTACAGCAATAGCATCCTCTGTGGACCTGTTAGTACGATATGTGAACTGGTAGGGGTCCAAGTTTGGAGGGAGATGGTCCTTGATGTGCTGGAGAACCAGTCTCTCAAAGCACTTCATGATTACCGGAGTGAGAGCAACCGGTCAGTAATCATTCAGGCTGGTGATGGTAGGCGTTTTCGGCACTGGGATGATAGTTGCTGATTTTTAAGCAGGGTGGGATGACTGCCTGGGCCAGGGAAAGATTGAAAATTCTGGTGAAGGTGTGGGCGAGCTGGAGGGCACATGCTCAGAGCACCCTGCCAGGTACTCCATCTGGGCCAGTAACTTTCTTGGGGTTCACTGTTAGGAGCAACCCTCTAACATCATTCTCCCATACAGTGAGTGGAGTGGTGCAGTAACCGGATGGGTGTGGGGGCAGGGCTGGATCAGATGAGTGCTGCTGTAGTGCTTCAAAGTGAGCAAAGAAGCAGTTTAGCTCCTCTGCTTGTGATGCACTCAGGTCTCCTGTTGTCACCTCACAGCTTTTATAGTTTGTGATTTTTTTTATGCCCTTCCACGCCTCCTGGAAGTTGTTACTGGACAAATGGGACTTTATACTTTTTTATGGTCAGCCTTTGCAGTTTTTATTCCCTTATTCAGGTTGGCTCGAGCGGCTCGGTACAGAACTCTTGTCACCTGACCTGAAGGCGGCATCGCAGGCTTTGAGGAGTGTGCGGACCTGGCTGGTCATCCAGGGTTTCTGGTTGTGGGAAACCGGAATGTTTTTGACCATAGTCACATTTCCGATACAGAACTTGATGTAGTCCAGTACTGTTCCTGTGTATATACTGTTGCTGTGTATATTT